GTAGGAGGAAAGAGGAGAGGTTGTGGGGTGAGGGGGAGGAAAGAGAGGGAAAGTGGATAAGGGTGGAGGCAAGGCGGGGACTGCCGGGAGTATTCGGAAATATTTTGAGTAAGAATCTTTTTTCTTTTGTGGTGTTTGTAGACGCATCATTTGTATTTGTTGTTTAATTCAAAATAATAAAAAAATTTATATATAAAAAAAATGAAAGATATCAATTTTCTTTTTTGTACTTTATGTAAAATGGTACATGCTAATCTTTTCCATGCAAAGAACAAAGACTTTAAAATGTAAGGCAAAGAAGTCAATAGTTTGATTTTTTTTTCAAAAATGTCATTTTTAAGACATAGATAGGTAACTTATGCATGAAATAATATTTATAGGATAATGTTCCTCAACCTACTTGTTTGTTCAATCTCCTGCAAAACTGTAAGTTACTTTAAACATTTCACACACATTATGCATTTTCTTCCTGTTAAATCATCTAGTTACCAATCCTGTTTCTCTGTGCTTTTTTCATCTCCACTTGGAAAGACCCTGATTTCAGTTGTAAAGGCAGTTGATGATGAATAAGCTTTAAGATAATGATTAGATGCACACATAAAAAAAATTAAAGTAGTTTAGCATGATTTGAAATGCTGCTGATATGGACTTACAGGGAAATTTGACACTGTTGTTATATAATAGCCAACTTTAGAACTGGGCTTGGAGATTAGCCAATTTTATCTAGTTCATTTTACAATAAAAGTTGGAATTTCTAAAAATATTAGTAAATGCCCTCATATAATATCACTATCAGTACAATATAGCCTTCACTTAAAAAATCAGAACATTGAAATACATGATTCTAAAATCTTGTTATACTAACCTGTAACAACAGATGTATGTTCATCTCCGCATGACATGTGTAAAGGCTTGTCATTTTTAAACCAAAACTTGCTAGGCACATTTTCTGCAAATTTGCTTTTTCCAAATGTGAATATAGCACCTGATTCTAAAAAGAAAAAGCTTAAATATTAGTCTGAACTTAATTTTGTATAATTCTACTAACAACTAATTTTGCCACTTAATGTCAAAATAATGGCACTGTATACCTTTCTTTTTTCAAAGTCTTGATTTTGCCCATATAGATACATTTATTCCATAATTAACTATTAATTACACCCAAATAACTATCAAATAGCATCACATGAAATACTGGCTGGTTGATGTATGTTTCCCCTTTACATTCAGAATACAAGTAGTATAAAAATGCAGTATAACTGATCATTTGCCATACACCAAACAGCACTGAACCGAGAGGACTGTTTTTCCTTACTCTTTTAAGAAGATGCATTCTTCCTACCAATACCCCTTTTGTTAGTGGCACAAAAATCTACTAGTTCATTAAGTAATAAGGGTGCAATAGGAAACATAACCAGAGGATGCTGTGCTCACACTATGATGTGCACAATTCCCGAAAATTTCCAGAGCACACCAAGATAATTCTTCAAAAAAGAAGAAAAATCCAATAGAGCAGGGGTTCTCAACATTGGCAACTTTAAGACTTGTGGACTTCAACTCCCAGAATTCCTCAGCCAGCAAAGCTGGCTGGGGAATTCTGGGAGTTGAAGTCCACAAGTCTTAAAGTTACCAAGGTTGAGAACCCCTGCAATAGAGCATCCTATTGTATTCACAACTTTTTTCTACATTATTTTCAATGCATATATTACAAAGCACATACAGTATGTATCCTGTAGCAGTTCAACGTCAGCAGAGAGTTAAAAGATTTCAACAGTCACGAAAGGCCTTATGTTAGAACTTTAGCTCTCTCCAGGTTTTTAGTCAGAAGCAAATCAAATTGCCTTACTACAATCCTAATTAGAAACCTGAAGCCTCAAGCCTCTTTCATCAGTTCAGTTGTATCTGCCGCAAAGTCAGTAACCTGTGAAAATTAAGAATATTTGAGGCAGAATGCAGGCTCAACCTGGTGCTTTTACTCCGCAAGGCTAGGGTTGCCAGGTGTCCACTATTTGAGTGGACAGTCCACTTTTTTCACATTATGTTCACTATTTTTTTCCACAAAATAGTGGACATTTTTTTTATTCAAAAGCTTTATGATGAAATGGTACGTAATCTAAAGCTGTAGTCTACTTTTTTTACTACTTAACACCCCCCCCCGCTTGTCCGCTATTTTTTGGAAGCAGACCTGGCAACCCTACCGCAAGCTGAAAAAGGAGATACTCAGAAGACCGAGAACGGCCCCCACATTGTAAGAAGACAAAAGACGTGGCTGAAATGCACCCCGCCTCCGTCCTTTGCAGCGGCGGGCTCGCTGACGAAAACCTCCAAGGGCGCCTTCCGAGGTCCCGCGGAAGGGCTGAGCCTCAAGCAGCAAAGCAGAGGAACAACGCGAGCGGAGTAGAGACAAGCGAGGGACGAGGCAGCCTCGCCGGCTCCCTCGGCAAAGCCGCCAGAAACGAAAGGGGGCTGCCGGCACCAACCCGCTAACTTCCCGAGGTGAGGATGGGACTCACCGGGTACCTGCTCCTCGGCCTCCCCCATGACGGGCAGGAGGGGGGAGGGGGCGGCGCCGGGCTGGTAGATGGACCCACAAGCCGCACCGAGCCCGGAAGTAAACAAATCTCCTGCCATTAGCAACGAAGCCTGCCTTTACCATAGAGTACTTGGAAGGCTGAATAGAGCGTAAGCATCATAGAGCACCATCCTCTCCTTGGCCTCCTTGCCCCCCCCCACCAGGTTCGAGCTGCAGTTTAAATGTATCAAGAGCCGGGATTCCTAAAATAATAAATAAATTCCATAAACATGTCTCGAGAGAGGGAGGCGCCGTTGTGCACGTGCAAATACACGCCTGTAAATAATTATGGCTAGTAATGCGGTTAGGTAAGTCTCGATTCTGAACAAGCAGAAGTGAGCATGTTAGATCGAGTTACATAGACTTACATCAGGCTGGTATGAGACTACTGTAAAATTATCTCCTCCCTCTGTATAATTGTATCTCCTTCCGTTTGTAATATTTTGCCTTCTCCGTCCTATTTCCAAAATCCACCCAGTAATTTCATCCTTGTCAGGGAAGAAACAACACTTCAATCAATGAACTATGAAGGAAGAAATCACACTTCAACCAAGACTGGCAGGGCAATAAACCTCAAAACCACTCTGCCTTGTACTGATAATATTTACCTTGCTTGATAATGAAACACCTGCAAGAAAAGTAAGCAAGCTCAGAGTATCCCAAGGACCCAACAGGTTTGGGGAGCCCATTTTATTTGGAGTTTTTATACAATGCTGTGCTTCCGTCCTACTTTCCACATACAATGGGTTCTATAAAATTTGGGATTAGAAATTATTTAAAACATAAAATCCTTATAAATTTACAGGTAGCTTTACAGCCAGAAATACTTGTGATTAGAAAGACTACACTTTAGTCTCTTCTCTGTTCTATCACATCACCCACTACTTTGTTTATATTCAGCTTCTAAATATAACTAAAGAATATAGTGATCTATAACCACTATCACTATAAGGTGCCCATTTTTGTACAAATGCAGTTGAAATTTATGGTTGTGGAAAATGGAAATAGTTGATTATTTAATAAAGGAATTAATTGTCTTAGGTAACAGGGAAGGCTTTTTCTCTCTCCCCCCCCCTTTCCTGAGCTAAATTGTGCCCTCCTGTGCTTTAAGAAATGTTATGTATGTTTTCTTCAACCATCTGTAGGCCAGGAAAAAACTTTAATGCAATGGAAAAGTGGATGCTATATAGATTTAATATGTGGACATCCAGTAACTTGGATACTGTATTTGATTATATACCCTCCCTCTCTCACACACCCATGTTCTCACACCCAGACTAGTGTGGAAAAAGAAGAAGAGCTAATGAATGAGATAATTCTCTAGCTATATCTATGTAACTTCTGCATGGACCAAGATTATCATAACAATAACAAAATAGCAGAGTTGAAAGGGACTTTGGAGGTCTTCTAGTCCAATCCTGTACCCAGGCAGGAAACCCTGTACAGAGGGGCACCTTTTCTCCAGGAACATGAACTGACCTTTAGCAAAATGGAAAATATCTGGAATGGACCATATATACTGCAATCACATGCTGATCTTATCTTCTAATGATGAAACTATGAATTTTGCAACTCAGCTAACTATTAACTTTTTATCTATAGTATTTGTGTCAAGTTACATACCTAACAAATACTAAAGATAATATAGCCTCATGACTGTTTATCTTTGCTGCTTCACTAAAAACTAGAGTATTCACTATTTCAACTGGCTCTGGTTAGAACATTTTCTTCTACAACTAAAAATTATCATTTAATAAATATGTTTAATTTCAGATTCCTATTTAATGCAGCAAATATACATAAAATCAAGCATTCGGTACAATACATTCGGTAAGTGTTTAAATATCTCACAGATGAGTCCTGAATCATATAGGCTGTTCTTTAATATCTGCTATAAAATTTATGAGATTGATAATCTATATCTTCATTTTTAGTAGTGTTTATATACCAAACCATAAAACTAAAACAAATCAATTTTATTGAAAAATAGGTATGTTGATGATATTACAATCTTTGTCCTCTATTTCTAGAGTATCTGATAATTGTATGTATTGGAAATTATTTGCATATGTTCTTCAAATCAGTGACATATTCTATTATTTACAAATGGTTTTTACACTTTTCCTCTCTGTTATAGCTGAGAAATTGCATAAAGTTCTTTTATAAGTGTGGGGAAGGGGGGCAAATCTTAGAAAAATTAATAAGAGCAACTAATTTGTTTATTTGTCATGGATTATTTTTAATTGTCTCAATATAATGTGAAAAATATGGTGGCAGTAAACGTAATGTTAATTAAGTCTTGGAATGATGCTAATTTGACCAAACAGAATTGAATTATATTGTCAAAAATTGTGTTATAGTTATTCATTAGTTTTCAATCTTTCTTGATCTCGTATGAATATGAGAGAGGAAAATAAAAAGATACTATAGCACCAGCTTGAGTGCTCACTAAATATATGGACTTCATATCCCATATTTCTTTGACCAAGAAGATCAGTGCATAAGATTCTGAGAGCTGAAGTGCCCATGTTGATAAAGGCTGCAATAGTCTTTTGTCTTCATTAACAATTTTGCCAGTTGTCAATTTGCATTGCCTCATGTAAATCGTAACAATTTATTTACCTACATAGTAAAAGTAAAAATAAAAAGGGGCTATGGACTTCTCTGAGGCCATCTGCTTTAAAAGAGAGTTCATCTAGTAAGTATTTTATTGCTAAACACTTGTCTGCGGTGCTGACTGTTAATTACAGTCCTGCTTTGAGCACAAAAACAGCTGGGTGATCTTGGGCCAGTTACTTTCTTTCAGCCCTAGGAAGGAGGCAATGGCAAATAACTTTTGAAAAAAACCTTGCCATAAAAACTACAGGCAGTCTCCAAGTATCAGACACAGGTGAACAGGAAAAAAAAGAATTTTATTCTGCATGCCAGCATGGCTAGTAGGCTATTAAGAGGCGGGTTAAATTAAATAATAATAATAATAATAATTTAATTTGTACCCCGCCCTTCTCCTCACCGGACTCAGGGCGGCTCACAGCCTTATAAAACCACAATACAATAAATATCTACATTAAAACCAAATTAAAAGAAAATATTTGAAAAGGCCAATCATTTAAAATTACCCTTAAAATTACCCTTAAAAACCCCACTAAAATTCCCTAGGCC